CTGGGGCCATTAATTTTTATTCTTTTTGCGAATGATCTCCCTCAACAGGTAAAAACAGGAAAAGTAGTGATGTTTGCAGATGGTACATCTGTTACAGTGTATGGGAAACCTCAGAGGAGATTAAACGGAAAAAAATCAGCGTCTGAGATGGAGTCTTGGTGTAAAAAAAATCAACTAACATTAAATAAGGATAAAACAACATTTACAAATGTTTTTATCAAAAAGCAACTACCAGACCATTTTTAATGACAGTGCTATATACTTTCAGTCCAGTGTAAAACTATTTACTTTTTTAGACTTTAGATCTCAATCATGTATGCAAAAAACTGAACAAGGCGTATTTTGCTATTTTCAAAATGAAATCCCTCTTTAGCCAGGATGGTTACATTATGCATTTGTTTTTAGCCATCTGTCATTCAATATTGCCACTTGGGAAGTGTCTACTGAGATTAAGAAGGTATTTTTAGCTCAAAAGAAAATAATTAGGCTCGTTTATGGTTTAAACTATAATGACTCATGCAGCCAAACTTTTAAAGAACACGGAATTCTAACACTATCAACAATTTATATATTAAAACGTGTAACTTTGTGAAAAGCAACCCTGATGGCTTTACTTTTGTTGGAAGTAACCACAACTATACAACAAGCAGTAATAATAATCATGCCTTTATTGATACACCCACACTGTAGGACGGAGTTTAGCCAGCTGGGTACACTACCACTTAACCTTACAGCGTAGAAAAATGAACACAAAAAAAACGAGAAATAAAAAAAAGTAATAACTCATTAACATACACTGGCAGATCCCAAAAGATGGTTCTTGATGGCTTTTTAGAATGCAAAGCAACCAGACCTTTGCCGTTATGTGCATCATTAAGAGCATAATACGCTTTTACGGCATTGTAAGTTACGCTACTATGGAAAATATTAGTTTTATAACTAGGTATGTTGAAGTCGGTGTTATGCCTCGGATTTCTGGTATTAAGATCACCACGTGATACAAGTTTTTTTTAGAAGATAAGTAGGTACCCTATATATCTGATTCTTTGGACTAAGATGAGCAGTTAGAAGCAGGTCTACCTTCAACCATCTCAACTCACTGATCTTTTGAGATACATGGCTAAACTTTCGCAGACCATAAACAAACCTACAACAGTTATTGAATTTTTGTACTCTATATCTGGTCACGTAATCCAGACAAGGAAAGTAAAGTACAATTGAATAATCTTTTAGCGACATTATCAAAGTTTCAGCTAGTTTTTTGCAAGTCTTGAAGTTCAAAATATGTCGATTAGAATATAAAATCTTTAAACGCATGTATATTGATCTAGGTGCATTTGTAACATGTCGCTTAAACCTCAACAACAGTCCCTAACGACTCCTAAATTCTTTGCATGGTCCACAATGGGAATATACGTATTATTAAGACTAAGGATAATTGTTTTCCTGAACGTTGTAATAACTGCTTTGGGCCAAACAGCATAGCAGAACATTTTGTAGCATTGATCTTCAGACAATGTCAGTAATTTACAATATTAATTATATCTAGGTTCAGTTTGTATGACACTTCATGCAAATCAAGTGAATCAAATGTCATAGTTAGCTGAGTGTCGTCAGCGTAAGTTTGAATGTTGCAGTATTGAAGACAAGCATGTGAATCAAATGTGTAAACTAAATAGAGCAACGGTCCCAGCACGGAGCCTTGAGTGACTCCGGATGGAACATTTTCCGCCGATGAAACACCCTTACATATTTTGACTTTCTGGGTACGATTGTTCAAATATGATTCGAAGAAACGTAGAGGCTTGACAGAAAGACCATAAAATTTCAGCTTACTCAAGAGAATAACATGATGAACCATGTTAAAAAGCTTAGAGAAGTCCAGCAGAATCAGAGTAGTTGCCAACTGATCGTTCACATTTTTTAAGATGTCATCCGTAATCTTTAATAAGGCAGTCGTCGTGCTATGACCGGTACGGAAACCAGGTTGATACTGAGGAAACATTTTGTTATGCTCAAAATAATGGACCAGTTGAATGTAGACAATTTTCTCTACGACCTTTGACAAAAAGCATAACATACTGATAAGCCAGAGGTGAGAATATTCAGACGAGTTATTTGTTTTCGCCAAAGGTGAGACGATAGCTTCCTTCCAGCAGCTTGGGAAAGTTCCCGTCTCCAGGGAGACGTTAACAATATGAGTAATGTGGTTTATAATTTCGGGTAAGTAGAAGTATTATTCTGCGACTAAGACCATCACAACCCGATGCATCAGACTTTATAGAAGATATGACATTGAGCACTTCATATTGATCAACATAGCGAAAACTAAATAAGGGAGTACTAGTGCAGAAAGAGTTATTCTCATAGTTATGAATGGTAGACTCAATTAACCTTGAATTCAAATTCGCTACATTGTAGTTCGATAAAAAGTGATTATTAGGAGAGTTTGGTTCAAGTAGATTATTAATACGCTTTTATGTTTTCCTAGACATAAAACAACAGCATATGGAAGATCTGTATTCTACAACTGCATCCACATATTCAATAATTTACCAAAATATCTAAGGGATATCACAAATTATAATGAGTTTAACCACAAAGTAAAGACATTGGTATACCAGAGCTGCTTTTATACTGTACAGGAGTTTTTTTACTTCTTATTTTTATAATTGTAATTTTTAATATGTCTTGTGCATCAGTCAATTTTTTCCTTCTCTGACTTGTCACAGGTATTAATTTACTGAAACGTGATCAATAAATATCTAGCGATCTATCTATGTTATTTAACTATCATGAGTCGGATGTATCCAGTGTGAGTCGCATCTTACGTGATTTGTTTTGGAGGTATTAAGTACACTACACTACACTATAAAGATGGTCTACACCTCAAAAATAGCGCCTTGTGGACAAATTTCGAAAATTTTCAAAGATAAGACTGTATAATGTTTCTTCTACCTAAATTTAGTTATGTCCATTAACTTTATAATTTGTATCGATCGGCCTATATCGGCATATTGACAGTCATATGGGCATCAGCCGATTGAGATGTCGGCAAATTAGCCCGACACTGCGATATGCTGATGCTAATGTTTGTTGCAAAGTAAACATAGGAGCAATTGAAATCTACAAACATAAGGATAATTTCGATAGAAAAGAAGGAGGCCTTGCTTTAAACAAAACGTTGTTCCCAATTCTAAAAAACAGCACCAAAACCACTTAGCTTAAGGGACCCAGAGTACCCCCACCAGACAGCTCAGTCCTCAGTCCGCCGATCGCCTATAAAACCGCACGCCCATCCAGTTGACCGATCAGTTTCAGTCGACCCGCCAAGCCGAGCATTTCGCTCTCGACGACAGCGCCACTGAAGCTGGCTACCGCAGATGTAGCTGAAAGCTCTGGAGAAAATCCAATCCGACCCCGGCTGAACAGCCCGAAAAACCTGATTTAAATTAGAATTAGCCGTGAAAGCCTTCATTCTTCAATTGTTTCTTTTTAATTTATTCAATTTCATAACCCGCCTGAAGTTGAAGTTGTGAATGTACAAATTGTGTGTGTTGTCGAATAAATTTCAGGACAATACAAAAACAATGGCAACATTTCTAAGGCAGAAAATTGGTCAAAAAATAACACGAAAAGTTCATACGAACACGGGTCCTAAAAGATAAAGATAAAGGCGACGAAGTTAGAAGGACGGTCGTATAGTAAAAAGGACAAAGATAAAATGAACAAACATTTTTTGTTTCGGAAAATCAAATTTATTTTATCCAAAATAGGCTCCTTCAAAGTTAATACAGCTATTATGCACTGGCTCCTTATGGTGGCCGGAATGCCTCTAATTTCATGATTCATTCATTCATTCATAATACAGCTATTTGCACGCACCAAAAGATTTTCCTCATTGACCCGTATGTCCTTCAAAATAGTCGCTGCCCCTACATGATCAAATGTAGGTTACCGAACAGAACATAGTCATATGAAATGCCGTTTTTGGAAAAAAAAAATCGGACACAAGCGTTGATCGATGAGATGGTACATTATCGTGGAACAAGCGCCAGCTTCCTTCTTCGCGATATTCTGGCCGAACACGACCAATACGCGACACCAAACCTCTCATAGCACAAAGATAAAACACACCATTAATCGTTTGGCCCGGTGGAACGAGTTATTTGTGAATAATTCTCTTCGAATCGTAGAAACAAATCAACATTGTCTTCACTTTTGACTTTTCCAAACTGCTTTTTTCGGATTTGGCTTGCTTGTGTGCTTCCATTCGGCACTTTGACGCTTGGTTTCGGGATCGTATTGAAAATACCACGTTACGCACCATGCACAATGTTGTACAGAAAGTTTTTGTATTTTTTTGGCCTCTTTAATGAAGTCTCCCGAATGTTGCATTCGAAGCAATTTTTGGTCATCCGTGAGCTTGTGCGGATCAAACCATGAACAAACCTTTCTCATGCCCAAATTCTTGGTCAAAGTGCGATGGATTGAATCGTTAGAGATATTTAATTTCATTTGAATGTATCTCAATGAATATTTTGGATCATTCGTGATAAATTCACGCACTTTTTCGACGGTTTCTGGCGTAATCACAAATTTTGGCTGGCCAACATGCTCGTCGTCTTTCAGCGACTCACGACCCTCTTTGAACCGTGTAAACCACTCGTGGACTCGGCTACGAGATAAACAATCATCACCATACACTTGCATCAATATCTGATGGTAAATGTTTTACCATATTTAACACAGAACTTAATATTGGCTCTTTGTTCGATGCCCGTGAAAGAGCATTAATGAAAGATTGAACTATGCAACGTTAGTCGCCGATAATACATGGCGCTACTTGTATCGGTTATCTTTCAAAAGTCCTGTTTACTTCGCGACAGACCTTGTACATTCTGAAAAATGTAAGTTATTTTCATCACGAAAACCTATACCCTTTCTTATGAATGTGTATGTTTCCATTTACCTGCTGGCTCCATTATTACAGCTCTTACCTCTGTTTCATTTCAGCGAGGTTGAACTCCTTTACAGGCTCCAGGGGTGGCATTTCTTCGTCACTGCTATCGCTACTATATTCCAGCGATCCGTTAATTCTCGGCCTCTCAGTACCGTTTAGCATAGCGTCTGGGCTCTCCACATAGGTCCGGTGCTCCGACCGGGGCCGAAGCACTCGCCGAGGAGGATTTTGTGGATTGATCGGCTGCTGTTGCGGCGGTTGGATTTGGCTCTGTTGAGTTTGAATTTGAATTGTTTGACGCTGCGTAAGAGTGGGAGAAATTGGAGTACCTGTTGTGCGGTTGGAGCTGCAACAAAGAAAGTAGCTTTTACGGTGGTCCATCACGTTTTATAAAGTCATTATAATCTAAACAGTACCTATTGTCTGATGATGGTGTAGACTTGTATGTAGGGATAATGTATACAGTAGGGTGTCCCAAAAAAAATGAAAATTCTTTTTTTCAAACAGATACCCTCTAATTTTTTCAATATATATATATATATATATATATACGTAGTCGTGCCATAAGTTCTGTCCCATGATAATCTCATGATAAAAATGAAACAAGATAAGATATATTTATATGAAAGATATTATTTATTCGACAACATTTTTAGAATTCATAATCAAACAGTTTTATTCAAAATGTCCCCCCTTGTCCTTCACACACTGCTTCAATCTCGCGGGCCACTCATCTATCACTGCACGCACAGCTTCCAAAGGAATAGCTGCCGCTGATCGGATCAAATCCGCTGTCAGGGACTTGATATTACGGTGGGCTTTGGAGCAGGCCAACTGCTCTAGCAGGTCCCACAACTTGTAGTCTAAAGGATTGAGGTCCGGACTCCCTGAGGGCCAATCTTCCGCAGCAATGAACTCTGGCACATTGCTTTCCAGCCAGCGCTGCGTACTCTTAGCCTTGTGAGCGGGGGCGGAATCCTGCTGGTAGACCCAGTGTTGGTTGGCAAACAATGTACCACTTAAAGGCTTGACGATAGGATCCAGTATGTCGCTCTGATAGTTTGCCGCTTTTGTTTTCACGCCCTGTTTACAGAAATGGAGCTAAGTGACCCCTTCGTAGGACACCCCCCACCAAACCATGACTGACGCAGGGTGGTGGCCTCTCTCAACTCTCGGAATGATCTCCGAAGCTTCCTGTGAACTCCTTGCATACACTTTGTCATTTTGTCGGTTGAATTTTTCTTCTATGGTGAAGATTTTCTCATCCGTGAACAAAATCTTTCGGAATCCCCCAGCTGCGTACCTCTCCAAGAGCTTCTTGGATCTTGTCGCCCTGATGTGTCGCAAGGTGGCCGTAAGTCGCTGGCCCGTACGTCTCCGGTAAGCCCATAGCCCTAGGTCTTGTTTAATGATGCGCGACATCGTCCGGACAGGAATCTTCATTTCCTTGGATAGGATCTTCTGCTTCCGGAGTGGATTCCTTTGAATCCTGGCTTTTACGGCTTTGATGGCTGCTGGAGTCCTTACTTGACGAGGTCTTCCGCTTCTTGGCCTGTCATCAACAGAGGACGTCTCATTGTACCGCTGAATGGTCCTAGACACAAATTTACGCGATATTTGAAGGCCGCGTAAGAGTTCAAGAATCTGACTAGCACTGTGATTACACTTATGTAAAGCTATCACTGCAATACGGTTCTCTGCCTTGCCCCACTCCATCGTTATGCTTCGAGAGATCAATACAAACTGAGGTATATGTAATTACCCGAAAAGCGCTTAATCAACTGACACCACAATGTAAACAATCGGACAAGTATTAACAGGTCTACACTTGTTTGAAAACGAGGGACAGAACTTATGGCATGACTACGTATATATATATATATATATATATATATATATATATATATATATATAAGACGTGTTTAAGCAACGTCGACAACAGTTTGTTACAAACATGGACAATCTGTGTGATATTGCGCATGCCGATGCCCTTCAATTGATGAAAATAAATGAAGATAGGATCGTCTTGCAGCGGCAAAGAGAGTCAGGTCGATCTGGTCATTTAGCTCGGGTGGACAACAAATTAGTGATAAAAGAAGAAAAGACGCGTCTTAGGAACACCGGAGAAAAAAGCGGCGAGCTAGATATGTTGCTGCCTTTACTCCTTCGACATCATCTTACGAACCAGTGCAATTTATTTCAGACACCAAGATAGATTTACAAGAAACTTTGCCCATCCAAACTCAGAGCGCACAGCCTGATACTAATCAAACTCAAAGGAGTAAATGTTTCATAACTCCAAAGTTAGTGGCAGCATTAGATAGGTGTCAGTTAAGTATGAGAAATGCTGTTTTTATTAGTGAAGCAGCCGTTGAGGCACTTGCACGTACACTGACGAGCTTCCTATAAGCAAGTCCTCCATTCAAAGAATTCGTACCGAAAAACGAAAGGAGCACGCAGAAGCTATATAAGCTTGATTTCCAAAGCGAGGTACCGGATTCTGTAACTGTTTACTGGGATGGCCAATTGTTGCCACTTTTAAATGCACGCAACGTCTACCGGTTATTATAACGAATGGAAATAGAGAGCAACTTATCGCTGTGCCCAAATTGAAGCACCTACTAGGTTTCATGCTTTTTAACGGCAATGAAGGTTTACGAAAGAATTGACAAAACCATTTCAAAAGCAGCTTTACAAAAATTCTGCCAACCTTTATGGTATTTGACAGATGCGGTATCTGTCTTATCTCTGTTTGATGACGACGTAGATGAGGAACTAAAGTAAAATTTGTTGCTAATTTAGCCAAAGAAATTCCATCATAAACATTACATCCCATCGAAAAAAGAACTTTCTGGACCACTTTTATTAGGTTGCGCACAAGATCACAGGTACTCGTAGGTGTATCCTGACTGTGAAAAGAAAACTTTGGAAAGAAAATTTAGAAAATAATGTCCTTTTAATGATAAATATCTAAGAAATACAAGATACAAACAAAGCATTGTTTTATTAGTAGAATAAGAATTAGGTTTTGAAATCCATACACGGTTTCCCTATTAACTTTCAGATTCAAAGCTTGACCGAAAGTCGGCACGGATTATCGTTCCCCGATCGCAATAATATTTATTTTTTGTTAGAGGGTATAGGTATCTCAATTCAAATAAAAATGTGTTTACCGCAGGGTGTTTCAAATTCGACCCTCACCATTGGGATCTCGGAAACTAAGAGATACGAAGTCGCTTACTTGAAATGCGTATTTAGTTAATCAACAAAATGTCGCTTAGAAAATTTCGAAACAAACTACTTCCGGAGAGAGACGGAAAAACGAATTTTCCTCATATCTTTTTGATTTTTTCCTGACTTTATTTGAAGGGGGATTTCAAAATAAATTGCACATTAACATTGACACTTTTTCTCCTTTATAAGATGGCATAATCAGACTTTCAGTATGACGTTTCGTCTTTTATCCTCCAGCATAAACTATGGACGCCATAATATTGGATTTTTGCGCAGATGATAATAATAATAATCAATTTATTCCAATTGACCAAATACATGGCATACGTCGATAATTACAGGATAGTATACACATAATTTTACAGAAAAGTAATGTAGCGATGACTTCAAGCTACCTCAGAGCACAAAACATTGCATTGAATGCCTAACAGCTCACTTTCAAGATTCCAGATATTCCGACGCGCTGTAGAAAGGCTTACTCAAGAAGTAGCTAGTCAGCGTCTTTTTGAACACGCCCTGCAGGGAAATTACGTACCTTGAAAAGTGACATTATGTCGATTTTTTTGACATTATATTGTTTTTTGTGACATGTACGTTTTTCTACAAGATATTAACTTAGCACTAGCTGATGGACACGTCGTGAACTCGTTTTGTAGTTGTACGTGTTGCCTAAACGTCATTAGGCTTCAGTTATCAATGTTTGGATCTGATGTGATGTAAAATCTGCTTCAGAGATGGTATTATGGAGGTAACAGCAATGCATATGTGCATAGTGAGGATTTGTGTGCTTATATGTGTTGATGATAACTCCACTGGATTCTTGTCTCAAATACACTTACTTAGATTCATAGCGCATCCACTTCTTCTTTTCCATTCTGAAAATTACATATGCAAATTTGCTGAATTTCAAAAATGAAAGAGATAATAAATAATTATATTCACTGTACACTGTCGAATTACAAGCCATATCATGCTAACAGTAATTACATACAACGCGGGCGCGGTGGTGATTTTTTGTAATTCTCAAAGTTTTTGAAAACACAAAAGAAAAAAACGGGAAAAATCGTAATGTATAACGTTGAACATAACCTCTCTTCAGAAAGAACAACACAAATAACCCGTCGGGCACATCTAATAGATATACTTCTTTTTCAGCACATTCAATAATGATTTTCTCATACAGCAAATATCACTGATTTTATACACATGCAGACCAATTCGCAACCACTTTCTTCATAGACTACTCGGCTTCACAAAACATATGCAATCAACAATGCGTGTAGTTGAGCCATTCCTCCATAGATGGTCGCTCACAACGATCCTAGTGAGCAAAAGTGGACTGTTTGCGCCCTAAAAGCTACCTAGCCTGCAAGATGACATCTTATGTTTTTTTTTGACGTTTTATAGGTTTTTTACATAATACACGATCACTATCTTTAATATAATTTTCTAGATCATTAAACAGTTTTAAGGCAATATAAATAGGTAGGACTCTTTTCAGTAATATTGAGTAAGTATGAAAATCTGAATTGACTAGAAATTTATATAAATTTGATTTTACGTGCATTAATTTAGCTCTATCATCATAGTATTTGGAACTGTCATTACACAAGGTGTTTTCAAAGTTTAGTTATTTATTTTAACAGCTTGTAGAATTCGTCAAAAGAATTTGATATACCAAAAATCACCTATATAAAAGTTGCATAATAGAAGAGAGTTTACATTATTGAAAATTATTTAAAAAAATCATTATCAAGTTAAATGGATGCCGTTTTCACAAAAATTGTTTAAAATTGTCCCCATTGTTCGATTAACGTAAAATCTTGCTCGGCGAATCCACGACTCTTTACAAGCTTAAAATAAAATCCTGGTGTCCACGAATTAAATCACAAGCATTTTCAGTGCGCTGTTGAAGTTCTTCGAGAGTTTTTACTGCTCCATAATGATACACCGACTCTTTCAAATCGCCCACAGAAAAAAATCGCAAGGCGTTAAATCTTAGGGGCGAGCAGGCCCAGAAATGTGAACACAGTCAAGGTGGAAAAAAGTAGGGTCCAACAAGCATGTCATTTACCACGCCAGCCCAAACATTTAATGAAAATCTATGTTGAA